CTTGGTGCGCATACTTCACGAGGTCCCAAATTACAAAATATGACTCATATATATGAGGACGAATAAATCGCTTTTTCGGTGCGCAACTTTGAAAAAATCGATCCCAGCTTTACGCCAATACTTGTCGAAACAATTACAACAGCCGTTTTAAATCGATATTTCAATATGATTGATCGGTCATTTGTATTGTTCAGTTTGTTTGAATTGATTCCGCATTCAAGAAGTTGCATTAGAGAAGAGCCGAGCTATTCTTAGTCGAGTGTTTCTCTAACACAGGGTGGTCCAAACACAGGCCCGCGGGCCACACGTGGCCCGCCGCTTCATTATCTGTGGCCCGCGTCACATTCGGAGAGAAATAAAAAAAAATAGCATTTTGTGTTGTTTTGTAATAAAATTAATCAGAAAAAAAACTTTTTACTGATTGTTACATCACTAATGTCACTGAATTGACTAGTGTTGTGACTAGCTGAGGCAAATAGCGAAGTTGGATGATAAGCTTTGCAGTCTAAATTATTATCTGGCTTTCTATCTTTTTGTCGAGAATATATGCTAACTATAGAAAACTAAAAATATAATGCGGATTCTATTAGCCTTGGATGGCTATGTCTGATAACTATGTGTTTGCACAATGGAAGCGTTTGTTTTGTATTGCACTGTTTACCTATTCTTGGCACTATTGTGGCCCGCGGAGCTGACAACCTTGGACCACCCTGCTCTAACATATGGGCCGCGAAAGAAAAAAGGTTGAGAACCACCGGTCTAGTAAGACGCTAGTTTGCGAGTAGGGCTGGATTTTTTTCGAATACTTGATGATTTCAGAATCAGTTCTACTCACCGATTACTCAGTTCAGACCGATGGCTCCAAGATCAGTGGTTCATGACCAGTGGGCCATGTCCCACTACTGGGCCACATAAACGTTTTCAGATGGGCCATAAACCTGATTGCTAAAATTGTTAATACATTAAGTTGAATTAGATGGTAGTAATAATGATTGATAATGCTGTTTTTTACAACAGGGTGGCAATTCTCATTCTCATTATCGAAGTGAAATTGTCTGTTTTTGGGGAATGAATATTTTGTTTTTCTTGTATTTTATCTTTCATATGAAAAACTTAAGCCTAACGGACCACAAAATTTTTGCGCAGCGAAAATGGGCCATGTGAGAAAAAAGGTTGAAAACGACGGCTCTAGATTGTTCGCCGTATAAGTAAACAGTCTTGTCGAGAATTCTTTCCCACTTGCTAAATTCGGAAACAAGCTATTTTAGTGTCACAATATGCAAGATTATACGTAATAATGAAAATTATTTTTCCTGATTGCTTAGTGCAGATGTAGGTAGTTCACTATCTTTATCCCAATGGATAAATACTAAAAAATACTATCTAAATTGCACATTTGAATGACAATAGTATAATTCAGGAATTTATACTTACAAACGTACTTTGTTTGACAACTAACGGATTGTGTGTTTAGCATTCTTTGTATTAGTGTCTGATAATATTGGATAAGCGCTTGGCTTTGACGACCTTGAAATGCTTCAGATTTAGATATTTATTTTTACGTGCAAGGGTTAGGCATTAATTTTATTCCGATTTTCCTTATTATTTCCTAGCCAAGTGAATATGCCCCCTGCCCATAGGTTTCAGTCCTTTACACAACTTGATGTAACATGGGCGAACAAAATTAGTTACCTCCATATTGGTACACATACTTCTGGAGCGCCGGAAATTGTACTTTCAAATATACACTGTTCGGCGACCAACGGTTTGTGTATTTAACATTCTTTGTGTCAGCGTCGTATTTGCAGACACGCTCGAGGACACGGCGCAGATCAGCTGACGTGGATTCGCAGACACTGTGACGAGGATGAGTTCTTATTGGAAAATTTTTAAGTAAAGCCGCATCGTTTTAATATATTTGTATAAAGTAATCACACTGAAATGTTCGTAGTCGTTAAATACGTTTTTATTTGAGTTTATTTCTGAGAAATAAGACTTATCTTTGTGTATTTGAGTCTTTTTGATATGCTTAGTCGCGATCATTCTTAAAAAAAAAATTGTGGAAAAACTAAAATAGTATTGGAACATAATTGAAGCCGCCAAATGCGTTTTTAAATTACGTATTTATTGTAATTATAAGAAACGAGCACAATTGTATTCTATATTCGCGACGTTTTATTGAATCTGAAAAGAGTCGTACTAAAATATGTGCGGGGGAATCTGAATGGCAGTCGCTGAATGCTTTTTATAATTGTGTCTTTAGAAGTTTAGGTGGAAAATTGCCTATATATTTGTAAACCTAAATAGTCTAAAAACGTAATGGAAGCCGTCGAATGCGTTTTTAGATTGGGTTTTTATTGCATTTGTGTGGAATGAGCATTATTCTTTCGTTTATTCGCGAAATTTCATTGAATTCGAAAGGAGTCGTACTAAAATATGTATGGGGAGAACTGAATTGCCGTCGCTAAATGCTTTTTGTGATTGTGTCCTTAGTGGTTTTGGTGAGAAATCGCCCATAAAATGTTGCAGGAAGTCGGTCAGTGTAGTTTATTTTTCACATACCGAAAATACGAAAGTCGCACAAAATGTGAGTTAAAATGAAAATATTGTATTTCAGCGTGAATGGAGACGCGATAGATAAAATATTCGAAAAGGTATTAGGCCAGTGGGTCCGAAAGTGGGGTCCGTGATGCACTTTCCTAGACCGTGATGGCTTATAGATTGATAATACAAAAATAAGTGCTTTAATTTGCAATTACACATTTGTCGCCATTTGCTGTTTCGCAATCACTGCTAGGGACACTGATTCCTCACTTTCTGTTTCGATCACGCTGCCCAATTGTGATGTCACAAAGTTGTGGACCTGTGATATCACAGAGAGAGTTCAGTTGCTGTCATTACAAGTTAACTAACTGCAGAGGTGTAGCTGACGCCGCCTTTTTGCATGTTTGTTTAGGCAGTTTATAAAGTTATGCCAGTTCGCTTTTAAATGCTGTCTTACAAGAAACAATGCACCCATGTCATTCAATTTCGTCATAATATATACCGTACTTCGTTTTAATGTTTTTCACTATACGGCGCATCGATTTTTTGCTGTGACCTTTTAAAGTTTTGTTTCAGTGCACACGGAAATTATTTTCCAAAAATTATTAAAAAAATTGAAAGGGCTCCGTCATGGAATTTTTTTTTATAAAGTTTGGATATAAGACAATGTTTGTATTGGCATCTGATATATTTGTAGATGCTCTCAAGGACACGACGTTAACGCGAGTGGGTGATGACGTGGGTACGGGCTTGCAGACTTTATGACGGAAAAAGGATACGTCAGGATTTTGGTACTCCCGAAGTATGTGAACCAAGATGGCGGACACCGGAACGCAGTATGTGTACCATAATTTCAGGTACAAATACTACGGAGTCACTTGGCTAGTCCCCGAATTCCTAATATAACTAAAATGAGCAAAATTGGAATAAAATTATGTCCTAACCCGAACTGGGTACACATACTACGTTCGGGTGTCCGCCATCTTGGTTCACATACATTGGGGAGTACCGAATTTCCATATTTATCATGGGGAGAAGGAATCTTCATCATTTGGCTAACCACGGCCACTTGTCCGATAACCAGTCGTGATTTCGTAACAAGGGTATTTAATCTGTTATGAAACCTATAACAAGCCCGGTGTGACGTGTCTCCTATCCAAAGTACATTCAGACATGTGATATAGATAACAGATCAGCTGACGTGGGTGCATGAAAAAGGCAAACAGAATAGAAAATTGTGTTTTACCTGTAATAAAATGGCGGTCAGCAAAGCCATATAAATTCGCGTGCTTTTGATGCATTTGTCTGTTCTGGTAACAGTTAGGCCCGCGGATGAGTATGTGGTCCTAACCACCGGAATGACTTATGTTTATTTTAAAAATCGTTAAATCCGCGGCTTACTTTTATATGCGTGTTTACAGGCAGTTCGAATTTTTCTTCAGGTCTTTTATTCGACATTAAAATATTGAAACGTTCTCTAGGTCAGATTCAGGGATGGGCCTATGACCCCATATTCTGTATCTTAGGGATCCTATTCGTAGATGGATATTGACCTCAGGGACGTAACCAGGAAGTTAGACCGTAACAGCTTGCGGATTCGCCAGAGGCCGGGAAACGTGGCATTTCACGAGTTTTTAGAGTAGGGTTGCCGTACCGTCCGTAAAATTCCGGACATGTCTGGAATTTAGGGTTAAATTTTGCGTCCGGGAGGAATTTAAAAAATGCTTAAATGTCCGGAATCCGGAATTTTACTGCATCTGCAATCGTACTGTGCACACTACTAATACAGAACATTGTTATTTCGTACCGTGCGCATATTTTTACTACGAGGTCATGAAAATAGTCATGCACTGTTCGGAATTTTGCTTTTTTAAATATGGTGACCCTACTTTAGGGTCCAAAATGCGTTCCAAGCTACGAAAATATGCTATAAATGATTCAGAAGAGGGCATTGTTTTACATTTCGAAATAACAAGGGGTACGATAGCACTACCCTGTAGATAGCTATTGAATTTTGATATAGAACAGTGGTTCTCAACCTTCTTTTTTTCATGGCCCATTTTCGTTGCACAAAAATTTTGTGGCCCACTAACATTTTCATGCGGGGGAAAAACTTCAAAAAACAACAACATAGTATTCTTTCTGCAAAAATCGACATTTTCAGTTTACTAATAATTAGATGAAAATTACCATTCTGTAACAAAAATGAGCATCATCTACTACCATCAAATTTAACTAACTTTATTGACAACTCTAGCTATTTTTAATAGGGTTGTGGCCCACTTGAGAATGTTCCTGTGGGCCATGGCCCACTGGTTGAGAAACGATGATATAGACCTACGGAACATAGTTTAAATCCGATCCCGTCATAATTTACGTTTAAAGATGTAAAATCATATTATAAATGCATAAGTTCATCATTTTCAGCATTTCAAAATATAATTTTCGGTTTTACGTTACAGATGATACTGCGATAGAGTATATTAATTTTACCTAACAAAAAAATGGCGAATAACGACAAAGATACCGAAGTGTTGTACAAACTCGGCACTTTCAAATGGAACATCCCAAGCTTAAATCCCAAATCTCTCGCTCTTATACTAAGTCCCTTAATTGTCGCCCTACTCGGGGCTTCATCCCGTGGCGATATTCTGGTATATTTCGTCCTCGCTTGGATGAATTGGGATAAGTTTTCGATCACTGGAAACAACACAAAGACGAACGTAACCGATTCGTCGTCAGATGGTTTATTACAAAACAATCAGAAGACGACAATGGAGTCTGACGTCATAAGAAGCCCGGTAGATGATTTTCTTCATCAGTACAAGTTGGATAACGTTTACTACGTCGTTCCAGCGGCAATTTTGTTGTCCTATGTCATATTTTTTGGACTGGGAGGATATTTACAATGGTAAGACGTTATTCTTAATTTTTAATTTCAAATTCGCTATGAAGAGGGCTCTATACAAGCAGCCAATGAACATTTCCCCGAGCATCGATTTCTTTGTTTATTTCCGTAACCCTAACTAATTACAATAAGTCAGGCAATGACGTCGAGGAAGAGTTCATGGTGCGTAATGCTTAACTGTCCTACCTTATTCGACCCGAGCAAGACTATTGGCCGGGGGTCGGCAAACTACTGCCCGCGGAACAATATAACCCGGCCGGAATGGTTTAATGATGCAGAAAATATTCAAATGATCAGTCTTCGCGTACTGCTTAAAATTTAACTGAAATTTGTGTGAAAAAATGTGATTCATTGGCCATTCCTTCGGATTTTAACTTTCTAAAGTATGTGGGGACCGCCAATGACTTGCAACCTTTAATTTTGGCCCGCGAACGAAAAAAGTTTGCCGACCCCTGACATAGGCACTAAAGTACATCAACGTAATGAAATACCGTGATTTGAGGTTTTGAATTTTCATGAGGAATTCGAATCAAATTCTTTGATTAACCTCCGAGGCAGCGTTTTTCAAACCCTCGAGATTTCTGAACATCTACGTTTTCCGGCCGGGCACGCTAGCTAATACGGTCCAACTCGACAACTAAAATTTCAGAGCCTCCCCCCCCCCTTTTTTTAATTTCTAGTTACGTCCCCTGCAAGGCAACATAGTTAGGTCCGAAAAACGACTCATGGTTTCGACTCCTTTAATTTCTTTCATTTACAGGTATTATTACATCCAACGTAGGGACATTCCAGAAACATGGAAATGCCAACCGAAGAGATTCCTCTCTAAAAAGGTTTGTGTTCATGGTTAACTGGGTGATTCTGGAACGCCATTGTATGACCCACTACTTCAAGTGTTTCATTGGGGGATTCGCAGATTCGAATCCCGCTGGGGCTGACTAATTGCGACGTGATTATTGGAATCCTGGTCGTCGTAGGTTGATTCACGTAACCGCTGTTCAGTTACAATATTCTCCACCACCAAGTCCACAAATAACAGGCTAACTAACAACATACCCGAGACTGGTAACCGGACAAGAGGACGTGGTTCATCAGATGGATAGGTTACATTGTCGACTTTCATCTTCTAAGGGAGAAATAGGAAAATCCTACTATCTTGTTCAAGTCCATTCATCTGATACCTCAAAATAGATAAATATAGTCCCATACCCCCACCCCTTGTAACCAGGCCAAAGACTGTAGTGCGTGTCATAATAATTGGCTAACTAATCCCATAACAGGACGAGAGGCCGTGGTTCTTCATATGATTAAGCCGTCATATCGGCTTTCCTCTCCTCCGGGATAAATATGTAAATTCTATCTTGTAACTCCTGGTCAGTTTCTCTGCCATCAAATCCATTCATCTGATACTTTGAAATAGATAAATATATGGCGTTCCAGAAGTGTGTGTACCAATACGGAGGTAACTAGTTTGTTCGCCTATTTCACATCAAGTTGTGTAAAAGGACTTAAACCTACGGGCAGGGATATTCCCTTAGCTAACACAGACAGTCCCCAAACTCGTAATAGAACTAAAATAAGGAAAATCGGAATAAAATTATCGCCTAACCTTGTACACACACTACGGCAGTACCAAATATATTACCACACCCTGACTGATGACTGGGCCAGAGGCAGTAGTTTGTCATATGTTCAAGTCTTCTTATCTCACGGGGTAAATACAAAAAACAAATTCTAACATACGAAAATTATTCTAATTTTCTCATCCAGGATGAAAGACATGAAATTCTTCTTGGTGCCAGCAATCTTGTTCTTGGGGCGACATTATCCGGATTTCTGGCAACCCTGATCACCAACGGAGCAAATATTTCTACTTTATACTTCTCCATTGCTGACTATGGATGGATGTATTTCGTCGTCTCGACCGCTCTGACTTTCCTATTTCAAGATGCCGCAGCGTATTATGTGCACAGGTAGGTGTAATTGAATTCTAAACTGGGGGAACGTTACGACACGTTAAAACAATTTATGCTGGTAGTGGTACTTCCTCTGAATAAACGATTTTTTGTTGGATTTAGTACCGAGTATTTGATTTATGCTTCAAAAGACGATATTATCTTCAACTTTTCTCAATATTGGGGAGTATCTTTGTAATTTCCCCCCTAACAAAACAAAATAACTGTTCTTGATCAATATTTGTTGAATGGTTTTATTTTTTACATGCAACGCCCATAGTGATAAAATAATCATTTATAAATTTGACATATCTCCCACATAGATGTAAATGGCGTGTGTTTACGATTATAAAACTGTTTTCATCCGAGCGTACCCAGTTTACGTCACCCAGATTAAGTATCTATCTATGAATCAGTTTTCCAAGCCAGGCTGTAGATTCCCATTAATGTGACCCATTTTATGCGTTTATGTGAAATAGTGAAATTTCTTGCGATTTGCTGAATTTTGACACTCTTGATACGCCATCGATACGGGATATCTCTAAAAGTAACCAACATGTACCATACCCACTTTACGTCATCCTGATTGGCTATCTGTCTATGATTCAGTTCGACGAGCCAGTCGGCTGTCAGTTCCTATCAATATGACCAATTGTAAGCGTTTATTATTTGAAATATCATTTTTTTTTGTGGATTTTTTTGCGATTTGCTAGATTTTGGTGACATCATCGACCGATACGGGATATCTCTAAAGGTAACCAACATATATGTACCACACCCACTTTACGTCATCCTGATTGGATATCTGTCTATGATTCAGTTTGCCGAGCCAGTCTGTAGGTTCTCATCAATAAAGCCCATTTTGTGCGTTTTTCGTTTGAGATATCAATTTTCCACAGATATTTTATTGTAAACCTGGATGGTATATTGAACGCCTTCAGTTGTGTGTTTTAGGTAAATAACATTGTTTACAAAAACGTCATCCTAAATAAATATCTGTGATTAAATAAAAGTCAGACTGCATGTTTCCATCATAATCGTCGATTTCATTAGATATCATATTTTATAGTTTTAATATTATGAGTTACATTTATCAGACGAGCTGATTTGCTTGAAGTTCGTGATGCTTTTCATACCTCATCAATACAGGATATCTCTGAAAGGGGCGCAACCTATTTACGATAATAAAGTATTTACGTCACTGTAAACCGCTATCTGTCATATTTTACACATATGTTATATGCGGGTCCTAACCGCAATAACCTATTTTATGTGTGTGTAATTAAAATTTTCTTTACTTTAACACGATATTTTCATCACTGAGATACGTTCTTGGAACGAGATTACTTGCCAAATTTCATGTAATTTTTTACGCTCAAGCCAAGCTGCGGGTTCTCATCGTAAAGACTTATTTTATGTTATTTTATCATTTTAAACATCTCCCATTTTTGTCACTGATATATACGTGCTTGGGACGAGATTTTTGTTTATCCATTCAAGGTCGAGGTGAATTCCTCAGATTTTTTTTTATTGAGCCATATTTTCAAAATGAAATTTAAACTCACAATTTCTATTGAGTTATTGATGAAACCTCTCGAAAAACTGTCTGGGTGATTGATTCTATGTTTTCAGTAATTTATGACAACTTCAATCCATCACAATAAAAAAGTCACATATAATTGAACATCTTCCAAGTATTCGAGATTCGATTTGAAAATAATTTAATAAAAAAAATGAATAAAATGGATAATCACGTATTCAAGAATGCCCCTATTTAATTAACCGCGACGTATTTGAGACACCGTCGTTTGTTTCCGTTTCTTCAATACTTCACTTTACTTGGAATACTTTTTGATGATTTTGATTTTGATTTGAACTAAGATGTTCAACATTCCTAGCAGTAATAACTAACGTTCCTTTTACCGTTATATTCGGTTTGACGTTAAATTCGGTTTACCGTTAAATTTGTTTTGAAGTTAAATTCGGTTTGACGTTAAATTCGGTTTGAAGTTAAATTTGGTTTGAAGTTAAATTCGGTTTGAAGTTAAATTCGGTTTGACGTTCAATTCGGTTTGAAGTTAAATTCGGTTTACCGTTAAATTTGTTTTGAAGTTAAATTCGGTTTACCGTTAAATTCGGTTTGACGTTCAATTCGGTTTGAAGTTAAATTTGGTTTGAAGTTAAATTCGGTTTGACGTTCAATTAGGTTTACCGTTTAATTCGGTTTGACGTTAAATTCGGTTTGACGTTAAATTCGGTTTGACGTTAAATTCGGTTTGAAGTTAAATTCGGTTTACCGTTAAGTTCGGTTTGACATTCCATTTTTGAACAACCTTTTCTTACGGCTGCACAAGCTTTCAGTGTTGTGTTGTGTACAAATAGGACAAGTTATGAACAAGTGCAACACCACGTTTTGAGACATCGTCGATTTCATAGGATTCCATTCTCTTTAATGCTGAAACTAATGCTTTACGACCCGCTGGAAACGACTTTCGGTATTCAAGGCAAACATTGTGGCTGCAAACGTGCTAAATTGCTTGTCAAGGATATTCTAAATGTTTTATCAAATTTTGATGACGCAGTTCGGGTCCTTGGGAAAATGTCTGTGTACACTGTAAAAAAGATGCGGAAATTTAACTGGTATTTAGTGGTATTGTAAAAGACGGTTTCAGGCGACGTTGTGAGAAGCTAATATGTATGCAAATATAATATGTATGCTAATATGTAATACGTATGCAAGTTGGCTGGACATGAGCTACCGACTAAAAGTGAAGCGATTGACATTCCAATCGATAAATACATTTTTATAAACATCCACTCAGGGAAGATCTGAACCATTACCTAAACGTGGAAAGATTGCTGATATAGGAGATCCATGCTACATTTGGCCCGTTATGAGCTGTATGTTTTTGTTTGAGTTGACTTAAAGCAAGGTCCCAAGCTCTCAACTGACAGAGTACTGATAGAAGAGTTGCAAGTTTTCTCAAAGAATTGTCACCATTGGATTTAAATTCATGATAGGAGGGTTGCAGTCTGCCACTGGTACTCTAAAATGCATATGTAGGGTTTATCCTAATATATAAATCAACTCTTATTCGAATGCAATCCTTTATGCGGAATTGAGCGGCCCCCTGCATCAATCGACATTCGGTGTGGCAAAATATACCACCATAAATCTATACAGTTTCTCGGTGTGGTAAAGTTTTCGCCCGTAACTTTTCTCAGTGATGAGTCTCTTTTACTTCTGAGTGAGTTTGCGTATCTTTGCTCAAAGATGAATCTCTTTTACCTCTGAGTGAGTGTGCGTAACTTTGCTCAGAGATGAGTCTCTTTTACCTCTGAGTGAGTGTGCGTAAGTTTGCTCAGAGATGAGTCTCCTTTACTTCTGAGTGAGTGTGCGTAACTTTGCTCAGAGATGAGTCTCCTTTACTTCTGAGTGAGTGTGCCTAATTTTGCTCTCAGAGAGGAGTCTCTTTTACTCCTGAGTGAGTGTGCCTAATTTTGCTCTCAGAGAGGAGTCTCTTTTACTTCTGAGTGAGTGTGAGTAACTTTTCTCTGTGATGAGTCTCTTTTACTCCTGAGTGAGTGTGCCTAATTTTGCTCTCAGAGAGGAGTCTCCTTCACTTCTGAGTGAGTGTACATAACTTTGCTCAGAGATGAGTCTCCTTTACTTCTGAGTGAGTGCCCGTAACTTTGCTCAGAGATGAGTCTCTTTTACTTCTGAGTGAGTGTGCATAATTTTGCTCCGAGATGAGTCTCCTTCACTTCTAAGTGAGTGTGCATAATTTTGCTCAGAGATTAGTCTCCTTTGCTTCTGAGTGAGTGTGCCCAATTTTGCTCTCAGAGAAGACTCTTATTTACTTCTGAGTGAGTGTGCCTAATTTTGCTCAGAGATTAGTCTCCTTTGCTTCTGAGTGAGTGTGCCCAATTTTGCTCTCAGAGAAGACTCTTATTTACTTCTGAGTGAGTGTGCCTAATTTTGCTCAGAGATTAGTCTCCTTTGCTTCTGAGTGAGTGTGCCCAATTTTGCTCTCAGAGAAGACTCTTATTTACTCCTGAGTGAGTTCTCGTTATTTTGCTCAGAAATGAGTCTCCTTCACTTCCGAGTGAGTGTGCATAATTTTGCTCCGAAATGAGTCTACTTTACTTCTGAGTAAGTTTTGAGTGATCCTACTTCGAGCGAATAAACTCCTATGTGAGGTTACTTTAAGCAAACTCAATTTAACTGATCATTTTCAAAAGTGTATTCAATTGCGCCGTCGGTCTCAGTTTTATCATTTGGCCTTGTCCTAATATTTACCAAACTATAATGATCGCAAACACAACGATAAAGTTGAGCAAACAATTCACAGATGTGGAACTTTAAGCTACTAACCTTTGTCTTACTTTTAGGCGGTTTTCACTGTTTTTGCACGTTTTGGCAAGGTTTCTAGTGCTATTTGACGGTTTTTACTGCTTTTTACTTATGGCATTCAGTTTATCATTCCAGTGATATTTATAGTGTTATTTTGTTTAGTAGATTCCAAATCCCATTATCTTCAAACAATTCATGCTCAACAAAGTGAACCCGCCCTGTGAAATAACCTCTTTTAAGAAATGAAACTGGGGTTAAAAAAGTAGAATCAGCTTTGCGCCTAGATGTGTGGGTCTCCGATGATATAGGGCATAGGCGGTAACATAAGTTTTTTTGGCGCTTCCGAAGTATGTGCACCGAGATGGCGCACAACCTGACCACTAACCTGGTACACATACTATGTTCAGGATAAGTATGTGAACCAAGATGGCACACAACCTGAACACTAACCTGGTACACATACTATGTTCAGGTTAAGTATGTGAACCAAGATGACGCACAACCTGAACACTAACCTGGTACACATAATATGTTCAGGTTGTGCGCCATCTTGGTACACATACTTCTGAAGCTCCATTTTTTTTTTTGCTGCGAACAAGAAATTAAATAGAATAGTCATCTTTATCCTTGCACAGCGGCCATGCAATATACGCATGCGGATCCACTTGCGCAAAGGAATAGAGTACATAGTGATTTCCAACCGTAGGCCCGTGGAGGTAGTCCACCATGCCAGGTGCTGATCTTACTTTTACTAGAAAACTTCCGTTCTTCTTAGTTTCATTGCGTAATAAGGTTTTTCCACAGGTTGTTACTTATCGATTTTAATCGGTAAGTATGTTGATAGGTATTTGTCTGTTTGTCTGTCTGTCTGTTAGATGCACGTGATATCTCCCGAAAGCAAGATTGAATCTGCTCCAGATTTTGCATGTGCATTCATCATATGTCGGACCAGAAGCCTATTGATTTTGGATGAATTATGTCTTATGTATGCGAGTTATTAATTAATTAGTGATGGGACACAAGGTGTCACTATGGAGTAAGAGCGCTGTTTTGGGGGATCCCCTAACTTTCGATCGATAAGTCTTCGGTCTCTGACCGATATTCTCGTTTTCTCTTTGTTTTGGAATCTACAAATCAAATTAACACTATCAATACCACTGGATTGATATTAGGGCTGGGCATTTCGAATCGAATCGAATAGTAAATTATTCGAATCGGTTGAGAGCAAAATTTCAAATCACCGCCATCTTGTTTTTTCTTTCCGCCATTGGTCGAGGTGAATTCCCCCAATTTTTTTTCATTGAAGTCATATTTTTTAACACAATTCTAACATATGACTATTTCCTGTAGTGAGTTATTGATAAAACGTGTTTGTTATTGTGTGTGAACGCTCAGTAATCGATCTGGGTGATTTAGTCTATGTCTTCAGTAATTCATTTGTTGAGAGGACCAATTACAATAAAAAAGTCGCTTACAATTATATATTTTCAAGTATTCGAGATTCGATTCGAAAAAAATATTCGATGTGAGTCTGAAATCACAAGATATTCGAAAATGCCCAGCTCTAAATGATATACGAGAATACCGGTCGGAGACCGAAGACTTATCGATCGAAACTGCGGTTTCGATTCGTGACTCTATGGTGACACCGCGTCTCCCATCACTAATTAATTAATACCTCGCTAATTATACGACATAATTCATCCAAAATCAATAGGCTTCTGGTCCGAGATATGATGAATGCTCATGCAAAATTTGGAGCAGATTCAACCACGCCTTCGTGAGATATCGCGTGCATCTAACAGCCAAACAGACAAATACCTATCAACATACTTACCGATTTAAAGATCGATAAGTAACAAGGGGGGCATATCGGGTCACGGGATATAGAAGATTGGGAATACTGGAATAGAGCAAGGGACGGTCATTAACTGATAGTAATATTTCGTTGAATACCAAGTAAAAGCCTTACTGATAGTAATATTTCGTTGAATACCAAGTAAAAGCCTTTTCATTTCAGGACTCTTCACTGGCCTTATTTCTACAAGAAATTCCACAAGTATCATCACAGATATCATTCACCCACGGCCTTCAGTGCAGTAGCGATGCATCCTGTGGAATTCCTAACTCTTCAGGTATTTTAGTTTATTGGAAACGAAACGGACTTATGGATCGGATCGTCTTTGTTCATTGTTGTTGTTCTCCTTGGAGGTGTTCCTACTACATCAGTGATGTGCAACATTTTTTGTCAGTGGGACATATAATCAACTTTGAACATCTATCTGGGCCACACGAAATATTTAGTTTTTCCATGCACTCAACGAATTCAAAAAATTCGCACAATGCAAAATTTTTTTAGTGCCGCGATTTTGTAAATTTGTTGTATTTTTGTTTTTCACGGCAACACCTCCATGTCCGGTACACTTCTGCGTATGACATTCGGTAAAGGGCTATTACTTCTTTTTTTTACAAATTTCTGCCGAGTTCTACACGGCGCGATAATATGTCACCCAAATTTGTTGTATTTTTGTACCTACGGGAACACCTTTGAATGACATCCGGTACGCTTTTTCATGTGACTTTCGGCACAAATCTTTAAAAATAGCGTCCAGTTACCAATCTAGGTCAGATATTAGGATTTTTAATATTCCCAGCAATTCCGAAAGCCGTTAAGACAGCTCGGTTAGTTTATAAACCACGAGTCATCGTCTCGTTACTAATCTATATCGGGTATGAGAAGACTCAACAATTTTTTCTGCCCCATGTGCAAGTAATTTTCCAAAGGATTTGCCCCGAACAATGCTTTTTGTGTTTCAGTAGAAATTTTCAACTTATTTTGTAACTATGAATCTGATCCCTCAAAAACATGGTAAACTCGGACTTCACATCTCTCCTTTAGATTATGTAAAATCGTACACAGTAAGTGTATAATATTTTAATCTGCAAGAATTTTCTTTTCAGTTCTCACTCATTATACCGATGTTCACTGTTCCTGTCCATTTCGTTGGTTTCCTCGGATGCATTTTCTACAATTACTATTACGGGATGATTGACCATTCAGGTAATGAATTGGAATTTTGTTTTATGACGCTTGTTCACGTCTAGGGCATACAACCCCCCCCCCCCCCCCCCCCCCCCCCCTCAAACTTTTTTTGAAATGCAAATTTTTTTTTAGATCAGGGTGAAAACAGAGAGTTTGAAGTTCAGATGAGATCACGAATAAAATACGTGCTTACATATTTTTCGATAATATGTTATTACTAGGTTGATACCCTTTGGGAGTTTAGGTTCTATTTGATTTATGTAATATTCTGTGTAGTATAACAAAATCAAATTTCAATTTCAGGTATTGACTTCGAAGCAATCTGGCCTTGGCAACCACCAGTGCGTTTCCATGACGACCACCACCGATATTTTCACGTCAATTTCGGCTTCAACACTCTGATTTTTGATCGCTTCCATGACACCTTGAGAAAGAGGTCGAGAGCGTACTCCGAGTCTATTTTCGGCGGCAAAGGGCAGGAAAAGGGGACGGAGAGTAGCAGTAATAAAATCGATTGAAGGGGTTTTGGGGGTTAGAGTCGGGGGGAATGGGGGTGGTTGTGTGTGTTTATAAATGCGACATATAGATATGACTTGAGCATACTGATCGTCATTTGCGTCAATGGTACCAGAATAATCAAATCTAAATGTCGGCGCGAAGATGTTATGCCGTATGTCTCAATGATTTATATGTTGCATTGTTCTTTGTATTATTACGTATTTTAGGCTTCACTGACTAGAGTATTGCGTCACAATGCAATTTATATTTCTCTTGGGGTAGAGAAATTTAAAGTCAATGCAGGGTCCCACTTTTTGGTACTCCCGTAGTATGTGTACCAGGTTAGGGTTAGGTCATAATTTTATTTGCGATTTTCCTTATTTTAGTTCTATTACGAATTCGGGGACTGTTTGTGTTAGAGAATTGAATACACCCCCTGTCCATAGGTTTCAGTCCCTTTACACAACTTGATGTAAAATGAGCAAACAAAATTAGTTACCTCCTTCTGGACGTACGCTTAGAGAAGTAATTTTTTGGCAAATTATTTTTTTTTTTTTAATAAATACTTGGTTTACGTGTAACACACAGATCCATAATTTTTTACTCTAATCGTATTGCTGTCGCATGCAACATGGAGGTGAATCAGTTATTCGCGCTAAACGTTTTCCCCAAAAAGCATTCTTTTTTCCAAAATTTCGTATAGATATGACTTGAGCATACTGAACGTCTTTCGCGCCAATGGTACCAGAATGAGTTTCACGAATGTATCTTTCCGTATTCCGGCAAGCAAATTAAAATGTCAAAATCAAACTTTTGAAGAGCTAAAATTATTCCGATTTGGACTAAATATGGAAGTTTGACTCGGGAAAATGCTCCTTTTTAGGTCATTTTGCACTTATTCGCTCATAATTAGGCTGTTGATAATCAAATTTGCCGAAATTCCATTCAGCGCAAAGATGTTATGACGCATGCCTCAATGATTTATATGTTGCATCGTTCTTTATATTTTATGTTTTTACGTATTTTATGCTTCACTGATTAAGTTATTGCGTAACAATGCAATTTGTATCCTATAGATCAAGTTTACTTTCGCAATTTTAATGATGTCCCCATAAGTTCCAGATGTGACAATATTGTGCAAATACAGACAATAGCCTATCCCAGTGGGGCGCGCAGACGATTTGAAGGCGCGTGGGGTTAATTGTTAAGTTTGATCTTGCCGCTTTGTTTTGGATATTACCATTCCTATATTTTGAATATTTACGTTCCATTCACTTTAAAAAAAAAACATATTTTCGCCGTACTATCTGTTATTTGTAGCTAGTTATTTTCGAGTTGGAGCGCGAGACTTGACAAATTCTAAAAAAGGGGGCGCGGCTTAAAAAGTTTGAGAACAACTGTACTCTATCACAGGGCTACTCAGCTATTTTTACCGAAGGTCCGCACACAAAACTTCAAAAATATTTGGGTCCGGACTTTCCAGAAATTATATTTCGGCATCCTTAAAAATGCAATTCCTTTGCCGACTAATGATTATTAGCTAATTAAGATTGTTTGTTATGGCGTTATAGTTCTTTTCATATATATTTTCAAAACTATAAAAGTGATTTTATAAAAGGAAATATCAAAAGTGAGGCTAATGATCCAAAATAAAGAATTATGCGCGGTCCGAATCGAATACCCGAAAGGTCCGGATTCGGACCGCGGTCCGCCAGTTAGTAGCCCTGCTCTATCATATACAACCAACCGGTGTTTGTTGCAAAAAGTGTATTTTCCATTTAATTTATTTCAAATAGTTCATATTAAAATCGACATTTTTATCTCAATTTTTTATTGTTTGTTACGTCATCTATTTTGTAACAAAGGATACCTTTTTTTGAAATTATACAAGCAATCTGACATTTGAACGTTATTTGCAAAAAAGGTCAAATTTTAGCTCAAAAATCATATTTCCACCATAATTCTTAATCTTCTGTTACGTCATCTATTACGTAACAAAGGATAGTATTTTTTGAATTTATGCAATCAATCTCTCTTACTACCTTTAATTAAAACTTGATAAACAGTTTTAAAGTTCTTGGACAATTGCCCGCCTGTCCAAATTCTTATGATCTAATTTAGACTTTTTCTACACAAAACGAAAAATTTGACCAAGAAAACCAAAATTTGGCAAGTTTAACAAAGAACCGTGTTCATTGCGATAGAGCCCTCGCCTGACTTTCCGTCGTAAAATAGTAGGGTGTCCATAATTCCCTTCACGATATAAATTTTGTTATGAAGTCAGTTCTCAATACATCTTAACCAAGTTTTTTTTTTTTTATTCAGTAAATGTTTAGGTACTTTTACCTCATTTAATGGTTCCATTACATTTGAACCCATGACAATTGCACCTATGGAATTTTTTTTTGTTTCACGGATAGTTAAACCTATACTAACCCTAACCCATGGGTTTTAGCACCCGCATATAGATTGAACCCGTGGATATATGCATGGGTTCAAATGTACATGGGTTCAAATGTACGGTAACCCATTTAATACATCTGTGAGGGCCAAAACAATATATGGTATCGATTAATTCCCTTTGCAATTTGTATTTTATTTAAAGACCTCATGGACACCCTATATTATTATGTCCTATTTCACATTAATTTTTTCCTTCGTATAGTCCCGGGCGTACATTTACCCCCAAATTGGGTCAGACGCCACCCTGAACAAAATAATTCGCGCAGTTGGCTAATGCACGAAATTTTGATCAGCCAACTTAGAGCAAATAACTAATCGAAATATCTTGCAATGACGAATGTATTTGAGTAATTTATTGCAACCGACCGGTATAATTAATTGCAAAAGTTCAAATCCAAGTTCAAAATGTCATTTTTACCCTAATTTTTCATTATTTGCTACGTCATCTATTTTGTATCGAAGAAGAGCATTTTTCAAAATTATAGAATCAATCTGACTTGCGAACGTTTACTACTTATGAATTCCAAGCCATCAACAGTTTTGAAGTGCTCGCACAATTGCTCGCCCGTCCCAATTCTGGTATTCTAATTTTGACTCTTTCTAGAAAAAACAAAAAATCCGACCCAGAAAACCAAAATCTGACAAGTTTAACAAAGAACCGTATTCATTGCGAGAGAGTCCTTGCCTGACTTTCGTAAAATAGTAGGATATCCATAAAGTCCCTTCACAATTTTGTCATGAAAACAGTTCGTAATATACCTCAACCAGGTTTGTTGTATTTTAATCAGTAAATGTTCAAGTATTTTTACTTCATTTAATACATCTGTGAAGGCCAAAACAATATATGGTATCGATGTAAGTTTGAGACTTTATGGATATACCCTATATTATTACGTCCCATTTCAAGTCAATTTTTTCTCCACATACTCCCGCGCGTACCTATACCCACTAATTGAGTTCTTCCCCACTATGAACAAAATAATTTGCGCAGTTTGCTAAGACGAGAAATTTTGATCCGCCAACTTAAAGCAAATAAGTAATCAAGATTTTATCAAAATATCTTACAATGACGACTGTATAGTCTGAGTAATTTACTACAACCAACGGTTTTTGTGCAAAAAAAAGATATTTTTTTGAAGATTTTCCCAATTAATTGCAAAATGAGTTCAAAATGTCATTTTTACCCTATTTTTTTATTATTCTGTGTTACGTCATTCGTAACAAATGAGATCATTTTTTGAAATCATACAATCAATCTGACATGAGAAGCTTGACGCCGCGAACAGTAATTAATTCATCGGAAAATTCCATCAAAATATCTTGCAATGACGACTGTTTAGTCTGAGTAATTGACCACATATTTTCAGTGTGCTATTTATTCAATGAAATAAATTATTAATTAAAAGTTTTGGTCCTTATTTGGAGTTGCTTGTCGAACAGGGGAAGCTTTCTCTATACGTCCTGAGAACTGCGGATCATGGGAGTCGGAGTTAGGCATGCTCTGATACTTACTAGCATAGGTTCTCAGAAAACTAGGCCCTCTGTGAGCTATCATGATAAATATTATCTTGGCCGATTGAGTAACTGTTCAAAAAAGCAATTACGGCAAAATATTAACCCCCGTTTGAAATGCAAAAAAAGGCATTTCCCGGACTAGCTAGCCGTTACGGTCTAACTTAACAATTAGCATTTTCCATTCGTGTCCTTCTAAAAATTACGACTCTAGCTTTTACGCATATGATTCCCGTTGAAAATATCGATGAAAAAACGTCATAATGACCCTGATTGTTACATTGTGCTTTTTATCACTATATAAACGTTAGCCTAGCTGTTGTAAATGAACTGTTTTTTATTCATAGCTTTTCATATTGAGTCTTTAGCCTACGGCTCAGTAACCAAATCTATTATCTGAAACTGGCCCACTCAAAACAGTATATCCCTTCTCTACTGCGAGAGATACGCCGAGTTTACTTCGGGAATATGGAATTTCTTTTATTTCCAACTCGCGACACAATCATATTCATTAATACGAATCATTGAAAAGAAAATCCGACTTTAATACCGCACTTCAATAATTTTTGACATTTTCTAGTTGCTTAATAATACAGTTAGTGATATTCATTTGAAATAAACGCCACGGAGATAAATTTGCAATAAACCAATCATTTTTGAAAAAATGAGATGTCAGATGACGGTCAAAATAAATCGTAACCGTTAACCATGTAAAATCGGTAAACTGATAAACCATTCCAGCCCTAGTAATTACATGAGTCATAAACTGCCTAAATTAACCAATACATTTAGTCAGACTAAAATCAATTTTCAGAATACGTTTTCCTGAACGCTATTTATAAAGCTAGTAGCGAAGTTATAATTTCGCCAATCATGCCCAAACGTATGGTTTCGAAGCGAAACTAACCATGATCAAATATATCACTCTGGTGCTGTGTTTCTCAACCCGAGTCCGCGGAACGTTTGAATGAGTCCGCAACGAGCCAGAAATTCACTGCGGACTGCAAACGTTTTTGCGAAACCTAACTATCAGCCAAGTTACGATTTTTAAGGTAAAATTTACATAAAACATAAAAGGCAAGTTTATTCACATAACAATATTCGAGACAATAATTACTGGTTAATGAGTAGGACTGGGCATATATTCGAATACTCAACTATCAGAATAGCAATTTACTATTCGAAAATTTGGTAACAGGTGACGCGTCGCTTAATCAAGCGATTGGATTTCACAACTCGCGGATTTCCGACGAAAACACGAGTCTGCACACACTTGATGGATACTTTATAGTGGTGTTTCTCGCGATTTCGAACAACGAGGAATGGTTCTGGTAGGTGTCAACCCAAACTTTCTAAATCGAAAAACGGCAATACAAAATACTAGAAATAAAACGGAGTACACCATAAGTTTTGTTTTATGATGGTCCGCGACCGATTAAAAACGCTTTTTTAGACATTGCAAATCGCAAAATTTCGGGTGCTTTTCCCTAGGATACGAATCAAAACAAAATACTATCGAGCACTTTACCACGCGTTGCATTTATTTCGTCAACACAACTGCAGATTAAAATCATCACAATTAAATTAATAATGAAGCAAGGCGATTAATATGTATTTTTGATTTACTAATGTACTTTAAATATATTTTTAATAAGTGCTAAATCAAGTTGTACTTTCTGGAACTTTATAGCAAATAGTAGAATTTTTCTAACGGCGATAACAAATTCGGAATATCGCAAAAAATATTTATCAAAACTAAATATAATCGGGCAATATTATTCTCAACATTATTATGTTCGCAGATGTGTCGTGGCATTTTAAAAAGTAGATATAATGCTTTCTATTGTCGTAAGCCGACGCAACCGCGAGTTGAGCACAACCGCGACCATGAACACAATTAAATTGAAATAGAAAGACATTTTAAATTCTCGTCGTTGTCATGGATTGAATATTGTGCGACGGAAACGGCCATTATACACTAAAAAAGTCGGCTCTTTTAACGAGCGCGCAATTGCTTTAATTGCTTCTTCTCACAGAGTACGGTTGCAATGAAGGCACCTTGAGTCCGCAAAGGTTTTCGCCGGAGAGAAAATAGTCCGCGACCAAAAAAGGTTGGGAAACGCTGCTCTGGTGACATGTTTGTAATCTTTTCTACGTGGGGATTCTGCTAGTTACCGAAGTTCAAATAGTTTGATTACCAGATTTCCGCAGATGATGATCTTTGATTCCGACAAAGAAAACCTCGCAGAACTGCATATTCAGTGGCGTATCTACGTGAAATGGTGCCCATGGCAAAATTAAAGCTATCTCACTGCGCATATTATGAAGGCGCATACTGGACGGGGACCAGTCTACATACATTGCTCACAAATCATCGTTGAGTGTTTATTAGCATAATATTTTCGTATTTCCTTTTTATGAGAACTTTTTTGATCCAACTATGAATTTTCACCTTAATTGATTTCCTGTGTCGTAATAATGAAAAGCATCTTTTAAAATTCAAGTAATGCAATTCTAAGATTTGTTTTTCTCTTAAAATATAGGCATTGGCGTATATAAAATTGGGGAGGATTTTCATATGCTCATTGATTTTAATAATCTACTTGGGGGACGATCTTCGTGTGATATAGTATAGGTCCTATAGAAGGTCTTCATATGATCCTGTTCATCTGGTTGGACCAAAATTTCGCCAAACATAAGGTCCACTGAGCTTTTTACACAATTATAAATCCTAGGGTGTCATTCTTACTCGAGGGACCACTGGGCGCAGTTTAACGTCGTTCCCAGGACAGTAAATGCAACTATATGTTACAAATTCTTCGTAGATATGCTATACACTTGAGAACTCAGGTTTACGTTATTTTACACTACGTTGGTTTAACATTTGCCCCGAACAAATCTCTAGACTAGTGATTTTTGACGGGGGTTCCGCCAGTATTGTCCAGGGGTCTCTCAAGTTTTCATTCAAATCCATCATTTCAAGTCTATAGTCCACATTAATATATGTGTATTGTTTGAATATAATACTATTAGTTTTGTCACTTTGTCACTACACTTTGAAGAATATTTTGTTTTGCCAGTTTCAGGCTTTCATTGCACAACGGTTCCGTGAGCCCCCGGAAGATTTCATTAGAGTTTCACTCTACCAGAAAAGTTTGCAATCACTTATCTAGATACTAGACAGCCGTACACCTAATTATTGCTGATATTCTGATTTTCCTTATTTTAGTTCTATTACGAGTTCGGGGATTGTCTGTGTTAGCCAAGTGAAATTGCAAAAGTGAACTTGATATATGGGATACAAATTGCATTGTTACGCAATAACTTAATCACTGAAGCATAAAATACGTAATAAGATAAAATATAAAGAACAATGCAACATCTAAATCATTGAGACATACGTCATAACATCTTCGCGCCAAATCGAAAGCGACGCTCCGGAAAGAGCGGCTATATAAAAATCACCATTCCTGGTATATGTTGCACACTTTTATTTGACTCGAAATGCATATATGGATTGTTATGTAGTTTGTATTTTCCTTCTTGTCACTGTATGAAAAAAAATCGCTTTTCTCATTCACTAATGGACCAACCAATCGCTTTGATATTTTCAGTGGGTGAAGATTGTATTTTTCTCTAGAAGGCTATTACATTTATTTAATCTCAAATATTTCTGTGTGCTCTATGGGACTCGTGGTACACCTGAAGTATGCGCACCAAGATGTCACACAACCTGAACCCTAACTTCGCACACAACCTGAGTTCAGGTTGTGCGCCATCCTGGTGCGCATACTTCACGAGGTTCGATTCGAGTTTGTGTGTGTTGTGACGTCATCAAAATTTGCGCACCTTGTGGCGGTTCCGCAAAAGCATATCAGTGGATCTCAAGCTCCGTTAAATTCACGTTGAAACTGAATCATGAAGAATGTATCATCGTCACGGGACCTGAGAAAGCTATGACAGTCCCTGTGCCGATGCCGCATATGATTTTCGAGGAATTGGTAATGAAATGTTTCGTTTTGTCCACCTCGTCCAAAACTTCAAATACTTGAGCATAATGAAAAACTCTCTCATTAGCTACTGGACCAATCGCTTCGAATTTTTTAGTTTTCCAGAATTATATTTTTCGCTAATTGTTCTCGAGACTTGTTGCAAGCCCATTCGCTCTATGGTTTCTGACTAGCCTGTGAAGTTCGGCCACGAATGTTTTCTTTTTAGAATAGCATCACTTATCCCGCAACAGAGGCGATCATACGCGTTGTGTTTTGTAACAAAACTAACGCAGAAGTAGCTACAGGTCAAAGGGTATGAATGTCGGTGATTGCAAAGCTTTTTGGGAGATTACCACATTCGCTCTAAAAACGGAGCCTAACAAATCTGCGAAGTTTGACTATTCACAGCAAGGCATTTTTGTCGGTTGGCCAAATACCAACTTTAGACATCAAGCTGGACAACATGAAAAAATTTCGAGGGCAAGACAATAGAATGCGACTATTGCTTAGCCTTACAGTAATAAATATACCGGGCAAACGACGAAAGATTCAAAAGCGACAGAGCTAAAAACATGTATTTTTTCTCGAATGAGCGCCTTTTTAAACAAACTGTCAGATTAGGATTTTATGCTTGGTGGAAAAAATGGAAGTGTTGACAAGGGACACACCAAACGGGTTGGCGGGCCAAGTTCTGGCCCGCGGGCCGCCTGTTGCACACCACTGATTCACTACGACCAATCAATAAAAACTCTTAACTCAAGATATTTTCGTTTATTTCGACCAGTAATCTGGTTCTTAACTTATTTCTAATATTGATAATTAATCAAAACTTTAACAAAATAATAATACTCAACGAAAACTGGCAAAAATCATGGAATTAGTAGATGATATGCTAATAAGAATAAGCTGAATAATAAAATGAATGCAGAGAAAAATTTAACCCAGCAAAGAAGATTTTCGATTTTGAGTAAGATTTGAAAATTCTCGCTCGAAAACGAATTAAGATTCTTTCTGGGGAGTATTATATAATATCGCTGGAGTATAAGATTCATATTCATCCGGGAGGAAGGGACAGTCTGTGGCATCGATGAAAAATTAAACTCTGCATGGGAAAAATTTGATTCTGAGTAAGATTTGAAAATGATCGCTAGGGGTTGCTTAAATCTGCTTTTCTAGGGATAAATAATATTTGTTCCATTAGCCATGGAAACCATTGGTGGAGCCATTTTTTTTCTGATCCTGAGGGGGTTGGCGAAGTTGGGAAGGCTTATAGCATTGCGATTTCATCCCATATTTTCAACGTGTTTTTCGAATAAAACATACTTTCGCCCATCTATCTGTTATTTGTAGCTTATTGTTAGCTAGTTATTTTTGAGGTGGGACTTGACAAATTCTAAAAAAGCGGCGCAGTTCAAAAAGCTTGAAAACCACGCCATATAGAGTCAGCTTAAATCAGTTACTGTAAGGATTCTAGTGAAAATAGAAACACTATAAAAAGAGCAAATCAAGAGTACTTTGGAATGCCATTTACAATCTCTCTGCTTGCAAAGCATTGGAATGATTGAATGAAATACAGTACGTCATGGGGATCGAATGTTACGATTTATAAAAGTACATTTGAGGTTTGGAATGCCTATATGCGGAATAGTTTGAATTCAGCCTTGCAATTCATTTAAATGAAATGTAAATTATTTTTGAAAAAATAAAACATAAAATTTGTGTTGGCCCATACAATTATCTTTTTCGATGTCATAATTTGAAAAAAGGTCAAAACATAGAATGCGCCTTCATAAGCACTTTGAAAGCCTGACACACATTTTATGTGCTAATATACCCCAATTACCCCCCACCCTTTGAAAAAAAATAATAAACTAGTGGGTGGGTTACTTTCTTTAAATAAACTTCTATCACAACCTCTTATAATTAACAAAGTACCAATAACACTCATTAAACATTCAAACTTTGATAATCTCAGTAGAAAAGTAGACTGAAGCAGGACTAGACAATAGAATTGGCAAAGATTGGAAATTTGGATGATGTCCAAAATCGTAGGCACAAATTTGAGACATCTCCACTAACTTACAACACACAACGTATGAAGATTATATACTGTCATCTCATCAAATACAATTTGATTTATTTTTTTCATATTAAAAGGGAAGATTACAGAACACATTGTGTGTACGTTTTTTGCCGAACGTTTTTCATCTCCATCTGATAAAATTATGATATTTTCATACTGAAGGTCCTGAATTTGGGAGTGCCAAGTGGGTCGTGATTAGCATCCACAACGATACCAATTCAATTGTCCAGTTTCACAGTCGAGCAAAACATACTTATATCAACAAACATTTATATTAAACTCTCTCTAACAATTATAAACTCTCTCATATGCATTTTTCTTGAGGAAAACCACCTCAAATAAGGTTTTGGTCGATTTCGCATTTAAATCAGAAAATATCTAAAGATCAAAAATGATCTCTAAACGATCAAAAAAAAATAATGCCCAAATGGTTCATCTCTTGAGGATGTTATCACATATAGTACAGTCATTATCAAATAACTATAATCTTTGTTTAAACATTGCCTACTTAATTCAAATTTCCTGAGTGAGGCGATTGGTATGGGGTTCAATTTATAAAAAAATTCCGCGTGTCGAGTCAAGCCTTCGATATTCATAAAAAAGGAAAAAATATTGGATATTTGAGCCCACAAGATAAATATATATATCGCTCATGGCATTATAAATAATTTTATAAATTTTTCCATATTTTTAAAAATACCTTAAACCATTTAGTTCACATATCCAAAGAAGACTACAAAATGAAGCCCTTTTCAATTTAGGCACATTGTAGGCTTTAAAAAGCACATGCCAGATTTTATAAAATGGAAGACCATATGCAAGGTCACTTTGGTAAACATTTGTATAACATGAATTGAGTTTCTACATCCAAATTGGCTTAAACCATATCGAAAGACTTTTAAAAAATTTGGCTAAGGGAGAGAAAAGAAGCCGCATTGAAGAGTAAACAGCCTATTTTGAGCCTGGGAACTCCTCAATTTGGCTAAATAATGCCAAATTAAAGTTTAAAAGCCTCTCTAAGATCATTTGTGTAACATAAATTATTTTTTTTCATCTAATTTCAAATTGGCTTGAACCATATTGATAAAATGTAGAATACTTTAAGACAATTTAAATTCCAAAATTTGGATTAGGGAAAAAACAGAGCCAAATTGAAGAGTAAACAGCCTCTATCAAGGCCGAGGGTTTCCTAATTTATCCAATTCAGCTTAGACATCATCGTGTTTCAAGACAGTTTGAAACTATACAGTTTAGTTCAAACCAAAAAGAGTCTGAGAAACATGAAAACCAATTCCGAATCCAAAATCTGACTGCTTGAAGCCGAATTACTTTGAATTCAATTTGTCTTGAACCAAGATTGGAGAATTAAGCCAGTTTTGCCAGATTAGATTTAAATTCCAAATTAACGATCAGATAATAGTAGAAGACATTCCTGAATCCAACAAATGGATTCAGTACATATAATAAATGGCTAAAGTTGGCGAAATGAGGTCAAATAAATGTGTATAAAGCTTGAGGACAGGGGTTTAGACAAAACTAACAGTCATATAATTGCAGAAGTTAGTTCGAATCCAAAACTTGGCTATGGGTAATATGTATAAAGCCTCTTTACAGCTCAAGACACTCTTTAATTTATTCAATATGGTTTCAAGTCACCGGTAAGGCCAAACTAACAGCAGAATATCCCATAAAACAATCTAAATCCAAAACTCAGCCTCAATTTGGTTTAAAGACAAAATGTAAGCCAAAATAATTCAGAAAATCAGTCATTGAGCCTGAACTTGTCCCAATTGGCTGAATGAAATCAGATTAAAGTGTAGAAAGACACTACATGGCTTTACTTTATATAATTCGCTTTGAAATAAACCAGTAAAGCCAAATTAACAGCAGAGTGTCCCATAAATCAGCTATGAATCCAAAACCTGGCTGCCAGAAGCCAAATTAAAGGGTAAACAGTATAGAGTTTTAACAGAATCAATCAAATCTTAGACAAATACAAGTACAATATAAGATCCTTGGTATAAAATGAAAAAAAATTACAAAGATAGTAAGGATGTAGGAGAATTACCTAAATCAACGATATAAAACTTTGATCAAAAATGATAAAATTAGAATAATAACTATCAAAGAATGACACTGAATACAGGGGGGGAGTCGAGACGACAGGCGAAGAGAGATCCAGTGGTCATATGTCTGTTGTTATGCTCACCCACAATAAGTGGCAACATGCGAATGCTTCACATAGCTGAGTGAACCTAATCGATGTCATGTCTTCAACATTAAATTTCGACTCTTGTCGATAAAGCAAGAGACAGTTTATGACTGGAAAGTTGCTGTTTGGAGGGATGAAGAATAAGTAGCAATGGAGAATAAGGAGCATGGTCAATCATATAACTGAGTGGCGCTAGAGAGCTAATTTTCATGAAGAATTTGGAACACTCTAAAGCAGGGGTGCACGAATCAAATGAGGACAAGCGCCAAATTTTTCAAAATAATCTTGTCGCGTGCCATGTACAATCGTTGGTATTGTAAATTAACTCCCGTAAAGCACACATCAAACAAATTTCAATAATATTACATAATAACAAATATCTATTTATTAAAACAATTTAATGTCCTGAAAAACTGCTGATTTTGATAGAAACGTGATATTTCAATGCATATCATAAATACAATTTTTATTTTTTTACAAAATCATTCGTGTGCGACGCATTTGACGCAAATTTGACACGCGTGCCCTGTGTTGTGCACCCCTGCTCTAAAGACATGAGAGGCACCAGATTCAGTACCTCTGATTCAGACAAAGTATCCGAACACATTAGAAAAATAACTGTTATTGTTTCGTATATCGCTGACTAATATCAAATAAATAGTTTGAGGCCTCTTACACCTTCTGTCATGCAAGCATAATCAAATTGGTAAATGACACTAGAGAGCTTTTATCGCTTAAGGTTTGTTATTACTGATATCAAAACTCAATTAATTTATTGGGTGTTTGCTGCCTCTACTTGGATTTATTATTCAAATCAAATTCGGTCAAGTATTTCAATGGATTGCATATTGTCCTTGCGCACTCTTATCTCTACCGCCCCCTACTCCCCCATTTCAGTGTTTTTCTTAATTTCAACCGAACATAGATTTCAGTTTCCCCCCTTTCTTTGTTTTTTGTCCTGATTTTGCTGATTTTTCAGCGATTTTTTTTCACTTTTTCATGCTTAGTTTTCAGTTCTTTCAAACGTTTTTTCAGCAGTTTTACTTGCCCTTTGTCAACGATTCCCATTTCCTGGAAAATTAGTAAACATTTTTATAATTTATAAGGTTATGCCCAAATAAATAAACACAAAAGCGCTTTGTACCAATGTTCACCATTTATTTTATTCTTCTGTATTGAGAAGGGCAGAAAAAATTAATGACATCATAGTATCAAAATTGTGATGTCATAAACTGTTCAGTGGCTATAATCAGAAATAAACAAAGAATATGACATCATAATGCAAAAGTTGTTATGTCATAAACTGTTCAGTGGCTATAATTCTTAATAAACAAAAATATGACATAATACCAAAACTGTGATGAGATAAACTGTTAGAGGCTCGAGAGAGAGCTACATTATCTGGCCTTGAACTATGTATTCCTGACATGGGCAAACTACAGCTAACAGGCCAAATCCGGCCCGTTGAGTAATTCAATCTGGCTTACCTGATGCTGCCACAACCAAACTGAAACCAAAGTTTGATGTTTTAGCTTAAAAACAGCTCAAGGAATTTGTTGAGATTGCGATTAAATTTGGTTTTGGCACGAGGCTTATTCTTTTTCACTTTTGCTCTTGTAACACTACGATTTTGTTCATGAAATATAACTTTTTATGTCACACTCACACAGCCCGCCAGTCCAGGTCGGCAAAATTTTTGGCCCCTAGTCTAAAAACCGTGCCCCTGATGTATTCTATATCCGTATCAAACTTACCTTAAACTTATCATTATCAATGCCCAGAATTTTCTGTCCATCTATTTGATGACTGGCAAAAACCTGTACAAACTGGTTCAAACCGGAATTTTCCATCCAAGATGAAACTTCCTCACATGACCAAACTGGAACATTGGCAAATTGGATTTGTTCGTCTTTTTTGAGAATGTCTAGTGACCCCTAGTAATGATGGAAATATAATAATCAATGCCTGTATAGTCCGCAATCTTTTATTCAAGTATGCTGGGAAACATGGCCCAGATATTCAAATACGATTGAAATCATTACATTAAATATAGCAAGATGCGCCAGTTGGGAGACATCTCACTTGGATGTTTGAGCACTGCAGGATTTTTGGCTGGAATTTTCACTGTAGACTATCGATGTATTATTGTACATATAGTGGAGGTTTTTCAACTTTTTTTGTGTTGTGGTTTATCAGGAAGTCTAAATTTTACTGCGATACATGTTGTATATCCTAAACGGTGTGAGGATTAAGTAATATGATTGGACAAACAGAAGGGTCTAAATTTTAAGTTTGAATAATGGAACTTCACGGCGAACTTTGACCTCTTTTATGGCCAGGCCAACTAGACTATGATTTAGCAAAAGCTTAGTAAAACTTGTATTCTGCGTAATTATATTCCGTTCTTTTGTACACATACGGTTCAGCAGTACAAAAACTTGGATGAATAAGCAATTTGTCACACAATATATAGTAACGTATTTGAAATTGATTTTTCAAACAATCCAAGCCCATGAAATAAATACACGTAACGCATGCAGTCAGGGCATAGCACAAACCAAATGTATATCCCAAAGGTTAAATTCACCCATACAAAACTAAAGTTATATTATATTGTACAATGTCCAAGCTCAGACATATAATTAGTTAGTTAGCGTCATAACATGCATATAAAAACATTAAATGTTGTCAGAAATGCCTTAAAACCAGCATATCCTTCCCAAATTCACAACCAATTTACTTATTACTATTACAAATCATGTCACAGGAAATAATTCGATGGGAACATGGGTTTTCAAGGATCTTGAGGATATAAAGTGTTACAAGTCTCAAAATTATTCTCTGCATTATACGGGACTATATATATTTTTTATTTTAAAAGGGGGTGTAGTGTTCCGACCTGCAAAACCACCCCCTGGGTTCGCCCCCAATATTAGATAAAACAATTTATTGAGTTTAGAATAATTAAAACTTATTGCACAAATATGAAATATTAAGATTTTCAAGGTAGACATGTTTTTTACATAACTGGATAGTAAGATGCAAATTCATATGTTAAAATTCTATCTTTATAAATTATACTCTATAAAGCTTGTGTATCAATTTCAATTTTCACCACTAGGAGAATCAAGGGTGCGACATCGCTCCCAAAGCAGCCGTTCTACAAGCCTATATGATATACCCACCTCAGAGACTGCTTCTGACATCTGAGACACAGTGGATGCCGCAGAAGGAGGGCGTGGCAGAGGTTCGGTATTAGAAATCTTCAAAGTAAAGAAAGAAACATGCAACAATGGATAGTTAGTACAAACATTGTTAGCAAACAATATATAACAATGACACCATTATTTTTCAACAATAGACAATATATATAGAAGCTAAGAAGCTATGATTCTGAAAATGGCCTCCTCCATAAAGTGGTTTCGGGTTGCTCAGCAGACTAGTATAGGGATGGATATACGGCCCAATCTATATTTACATGGCCTCCCTTTGCAGAGGACATATTTAGCTACCATATCGATATCAAGTTCGAAGAACTGAACAACATGTTCATTTGAAGTTTGGGTGCTCCCGAAGTATGCGAATCAAGATGGCGGACATCGGAACGTAACGTGGTTAACAGGTTAGGGTTAGGCGATAATTTTTTTCCAATTTTCCTTATTTTAGTCCTATTATCAGTTCGAAGACTAGCCAAGAGCATCACGTAGTATTTATACCTAAAATTATGGCCAAACCCTAACCTAGTACACATATTACATTCCGATGTCCGCCATCTTGGTTCGCATACTTCGGGAGCCCCGAAGTTTGTTTTATTACCACACACACTAGAAAAACAAGCAAGGCTCAATTCTTCAGACTGTGCAATAATATTTGGTAATCGGTTACACAAATATGACTTGGGCCCTTGGGATGGAAATAAGTTGACCCTACATCTGCTTAACTTTGACAAAAAAGTTTTTCATTCTTGAAAATTTGATCCAAACTCCTGAGATTTAAGTTCGATATATATAAAAGCTTCTATTGTTTCAAAATTTAACTCCAAACTACCACACCCTTACAGTTTTAAGAATAAGGTAGGTATAGCATGGCCAATAACATATTATTAATCAGTTTCAAACTTTAGTAAAATGTAATTAACACCATTCCGTTCTAGGGAGTTTTAACCAGTTTTGTAAACTTTAATATAATGTCATTAACACCATCCGGTTTCGGGCAGTTATGACCGGTTATTACCAGTTTCAAACTTTCTCTTTGAGAAGAAACACATAGAAGATACTTTGATGGTGAATGAAGGCTCTAGATATTGGTTTTCATGAAAACAAAAGAAATTTTGAAAAAATTATGCAAAATGCATGATTTTTTAGGAGAATAAAAGAATTTAAAAACTATAACAGCAACATATGCTCAAGATGTTGCTCTGAATACTCTGCTAAAAATATGGAAATAATTACTCAACCATAAACTTGGCTGATTGAAAAAAACTTAAACAGCAACAAATGTTAGATAGGTCATCCTGAATATTGAACTAAAATTATGGAATTAATCACTCAAGCATGACATTTTAGATTTGGAGTGAGTAAGAGTAATGATTAGCATTCAAGAAATCTTCAACGAACCGAGGGAAATACTCTGTGAGGTGAGAAAAGTTGACAAGGTTGACTTATTTGTATGATGAACTGCTTGCTGTTTCTCCTCTGGTAACCAGTCCAGGTTAAGTATGGGAATGGATAGCCAGTTGGAGTATGGATGCAGATTGTGCGAATGTATAAACGGTTAAATTACCACCCTGTGGGAGCAAGGATTCTAACAATCCTTGCCCAGGGTAAGTAGTACGAAAATAAGAATCAAAAGTACGAAAATAAGAATCAAAAACTAATTATATTCGGCACAATATCACGGCAATCTGTGGACATAAATTGTGTGGCAAACTCGCGATTAATATTAATTTTTGATTCCTATTTTCGTATCTACAAAATACAACGGCGATCTGTAGACTTAGAATGTTTGGTAAACTACCCGATTATAAATAGTTTTTGATTCCTATTTTGATATTTATAAAATAATAAAAGTATTATTACTCAAACATACAACGGCGATCTGCGAACTTAAATTGTGTGGTAAAGTTCCCGAATAGAATTAATTTTTGATTCGTATTTTTGTACTCACGAAAAAATTGTCACGAGTCGGAAAAATAATTCATACTTTATCCCGCTTTTTGGCAAATTATTTTTTTTAATCGTTGGTAGTTAAAAGTATGGGCGTTTTACAAGGATGATTTTGTGTTGCACAAATATTCAAATCCATCATCGATACCACTATTGCCTATCAATTTAATTCTGTTAACATGACTTATGGTATATAAAATATATACTGCAATAATCTGCAAATATGAAATGCCTGCATATAACTAGTCGTCGCGATCGTGACATTTAAATAATAGATAGATTCCCCATGGAGGGTAGTATCGAGTATATTCCTAACAGAAAGCATGATTAACAATCAAAATCTTCTTGTTTAAAAATCTTTGAAAAGCTTCAATGCTATTATTTTATAATTTGGAAATACCTGGATGAATGAATGTCAAAAAGTAAAACAATAAAAATCGTTCAAGCAGAAAAAAATGCAGAGGTAGAAATGAGAAATCAAGACATGCATGACAGCAAAAACAACATGCTTGAAATTCATTGAATTTTATTTTCTGCAAAATTCTGAGCACGACAGCCACTAGGTTGCAGCAGATAGCTTCAGATAGAATTTACTTTTAAATTAAAACTTGAGTTGGATTTAATATCTATCCCAGTAAAAATAAAAAACGATTCGGGTTACCACTCCAGACCGAGAGAAGGAATATTTAACCAGGTAATTAGTTCAGATGCACAAAATTTTCCCCAAATTTTTCAGTTGGAATATTCCAAGGCAGAAATTTTCTGGGCAGATTATTCCTAGTTTATCTTTGAAAGAAAAAAGTGGTTTCTAACCATTAAAGAATTCAAATTAAAAATTTCATAAGCTTTGATTTGATGATGGAAATCCTCTACAACCTTGCGTTTTGCATGATCTTTTACAGCCTGAATGATGGGTAAGTTAAACATGGACATAACGAACAAAGAAAATCAACATAATTTCAAGACACCCAAGAAACCATGACAAAGCAAATATAAATGATGACATTAGCAACTTACATTCTGTTTCCTCATCTTTGCTTTTGGTGGATTATTACGTCCATTGGGTGGCAGTAGAGGTAGAACTTGGACTCCTCCCGATACTTTGGAATGGTTTATCGAACGACTAAGAAAAATTAAAAATTTAAAGTTTTTTATCTGAGCATACAGTGGAACTTAATGTTGTTGGGCTCGAGTATAATCACATGAGAGGAATATCTATTAGTGTCTGTAATCATGTCCGTGAAATCACAATTTTTCTCTTTATTATTCCTCGATAAATTTGTCGAGAAATTACTTAATTAGCTGAATTGGGGGTTTGCATATTCAACATAATCTTGTATACTTTTAACATTCAAAGTTAGATCACACCTAAAAATAAAACCATTAAATTCGCTCACTTTTGAATGGTTTATGGATCAACTGAAATAAATTGAGAATATAAAGTTATTATTCTGAACATACAGCAACCCTCAATAAGACGGGGTTTAAGGATTTACACATTTATCCGGGGGGAGAGGAAAGCCGATAAGACGACTCATCCATATGGCAAACCACGGCCATTCCATGTCGGGTATGGGATTAGTTAGCCAGTTATTTGTTTTCGGAAGCATGGACTTGATGGTGGAGGAAGCCGTAACCTCTCCAATCCTCTCGTACATAACCATCTTGCATGGATTCGAACCTGCGAACCCACGAAGAGTCATTGAAGGTGCGGTGGCGAGCGTATTCCTAACGCTTAGCACGATGAGCCGTATCGCCACGCCAGTTTGAGTATAATCATAGGATAGGGGAGCTGATAAGACGACTAAATCATTATCCTTCTTATCTAAAATTGGTTTGAGAACTACCAGGCTAGAAAATCCAATTTAAACTAACACAAACTAGTTTCAGAGAATGGTCTGGCCTGGAGCGTGGTTAGAACCAGAGGCGAACCCTGGGTTTTGAAAGTTGGAACTCCCTCATTTTGGAATGTAAAAAAATACATAGCATAGCATGTATCATTCACAGCAATTTTTCATTGCTTGAAACCAGTGATGAGCTGGAAAAATCGTAACAACCGGAACGCACCAAATTCGTGAAAATGTAATATATATATATTTACAACACGACGCTACCAGTAATTTTGTCTGTCGTAAGATAGAGCCGAAGAACTACAATGGAATATGAAAAAATTATCTGAAATATGACTGTTTGAAATTGAAAGAATATTCATACTAATTCAATACAAATGTTATTATTAGATAGATATTCACGGGGGTCAAAGGTCGGCGAAACATCCATTACACGTTACTGCTGTGCACCAATTATTTGTCAGCTGTAATGTAAAAAGAATTATGATGCAACAAAACATCAATTAATAACTAAGTTTCCCGCAGAAACTAGACTTTTCGAACCATAATTTTATTTTAACAACAGGAATGCAAACGCGATAAAACGTCCAACAACCGGAACGCTGTTCCGGTGCGTTCCGGCTACAGCTCACCACTGGACCTCTCTAACCATAAGTCCATACATCTGAACCAAATAACTGGTCAACTTATCCCATACCCGACATGTATAGTATAAGTTTATTTCGACTTCATAATCAGCATAACAATAAAATGATTGGTAAAAAAAAATAACTAAAAACTGATTATGAAATCAGGAGAGCAAACAAAACCTTAGATAGGGTTTAAAACGTTCAGAATGTATACAAGTTCCGGTTCGTTACGGCTACAGCTCATCACTGCTTGAAACGCTTTCCAGACCCTCAGAACTCTTGAAAACCCATGTTTCCCATCATAGATATATTATTTTTCATTTACTAAAAATCAGTAATAGCATTTTAATAAATGTTTTAACTCACCTGACATCTTCTCCATTTTCTTTTCCAATACTTGTTTGGGATCTGGAACTTTCAGGCTGCTCGCTGTGAGGGTCTGTCGCTTGCTCACTTATTGATGTCTGAAAAGTAATTCTTGATGTTCATCGAGGAAGAGAGAAAAGTAAACAAGATGGACATTATGTTAGTCATTACAAACACACTTGCCATTGCAATTTTGATTGGCCTGTGCGTGTTCGCAGGTTCATTTCAGATGTATGAAAATGAGAATGATTCTTGTGTTCAATCAATGGAGGAAATATGATAATACGACACAGCCTTTCGAGCGGCTAACATTCCAAGTTGGGCATGCACTGATCATAATTTTTATATAGTATATGGAGTGTTTAGGCGATTCTGTATTGAGAGGGAAGTAGATAAGATTGAATGTATGTGGATTTGTCTCCATAAGTTCTTAAAGTCAATAAGTTGACTCTGTCATTCAGTTAAATCAAGGTCTCTCCTCCGAAAAGCAGTTCGAGTCAAATTTAAGAGTAGCAGTATAGTCCATTTGTCATTTAAATGTTTCAGATTCAAGGGCTTGGATAGTAAAGGAAGATGTCAACTGACCAGCGGTGGTGCATGAACCATCCTGCAACAGCAAGAAGTCAGCTTCATTGACAAAATTCGAACCCGGGTTAATCAGCAGTGCAATTTTGCTAGCACTTAGCACATTAAGCATGAAAATTGATGAAGCCTTTCAACAAGCCAACATAGAATATAACAGAAGCAAAGGATTACTTAGCATGCAGCAAGCAACATAACAGATAAAGCCAAAGACAAAATACAGCAAGATCACAAAGTAATTCATAAAGCAAATCCCTCAATCGCAGAGAATCTAACATAAAAGACTATGAGGAGGTAGAAACAGAAATCAGGGCCTGCAAATTTTGTGACATTTCTTAGCTTTTTGTCATGATTTCATAAACTGTTCCTGCATTTTTTACACAAGAAAAGCGCTACATTCGGCATCCGAATAAATTTGACAATTTCAGAAATATAAGTGTATTACTTTTTCTTAATAGCAAGGTCGCAGAAATAGGTTTATCAAAGATAAAAGAATGTATCGCCGCTATGAACCCCCCTCCCCCCTTGAAACAAAAAAAAAATCTTCAATAAAAAAGAACCCCAGTAAAAACTTAGTCGTTTGAGATGAAAAAATTCCACCACATAAAATCCCCTAAAAAAAAATTCTCTCACCCATCCTTTTTACCCCCCAAATTTCGCATCCCCTTGTAATATCTATCCCCTATATAAAATTTCATGTTTCGTAGAAAAAGTACCCCCCCAATCCCTCATAACAAATTCCCAAATCCCATTCATAAGTAGGGCTGTCCAAAATCGAATATTTTTTTGATTCGAATCGAACCGAATATTTTTCTCGAATCGAACCGAATAATCGAATATTATTGCGCAATCCTAAATTTGTCTTTAATGTACAATAAAAACTTCGGTGCTCCCGAAGTATGCGAACCAAGATGGCGGACATCGGAACGTAACATGGGTAACAGGTTAGGGTTAGGCGATAATTTTTTTCCAATTTTCCTTATTTTAGTCCTATTATCAGTTCGAAGACTAGCCAAGAGCCTCCCGTAGTATTTATACCTAAAATTATGGCCTAACCTAGTACACATATTACATTTCGATGTCCGCCATCTTGGTTCGCATACTTCGGGAGCCCCAAAACTTCCTCTTCAATATTGTAATAGCGTATGTGCAATTATATCTAAATTATTGCAAATATTCTATGTTTTCAGAGTTATAAAAAAAGATCACAAGGCCTCCTTGAAACTGGTCGAAAAAATCAGGGTTTTCGAGAACTATCAAGAGTTGGAAAATTGCACAGACTCAAATATTTCAATAAAATTAGTCGTTAATCATGCACACCTCAGACTTAGAGCTGTTATGCTTCTGTCTTCTCGGTCCCTGTAGCTTAGCTCTGGCTTTCATGCAGAATTGTCAAGAATCGAGAACTTTGGGTCACGGAATCGAATACTTCACCAACGTCCTGGGGAGGAAATGGATCAACAAATTGTAGTCTAGCAGAGATTTGGGAGGGGGATTCCCAGGTGGAGGGGGGGGGGGGGGGGGGGATTCCTGTGGGTCAGAACCCTGAATTTATAATGTGAAAAATGCATTTTTCGGACCTCCAGAAGTATGTGCACCAGGATGGCGCACAACCTGAACATAGTATGTGTGTACCGGTTAGGATTCAGGCTGTGCGACATCTTGGTGCACATACTTTTGGAGCACCCTTTTTTCTGTGTGATACATTGCAAATTTTCATAGCTTGAAAACCCAGGACCCGCTTCTTTTTACGGTCTAACTTGGCGATAAGAAAATGTCAAAACCCCTTGTTTAAAAGTTCCTGTCTCCTGTAATACAATAATAATATGCAGTGGCACTTTTACAACCACAGGAAAGGCACTGATTCAAGTTGTTTTATGTGGGCAAGAATTTGGGAACATTGAGGTCGAACGATTATTTGAGACGAACTGCTACAAAAATGTTTTGAAACGATAAGTTTTCCATTTTGGATTTATTTAATGATGAATTATATTATTATGCAGCGGTTGCATGGTCTTCATTAAAAAAGTTGGGCTATAGCCTATAATGCTAATAGACAATTACAGCTTACAGGAAAATGTAACTTTGATATTACGACTAATAATGTCAAATCAGCTGCCAATTATAAGGGATGGAGAAAATAGGTATAATTACTAAGTCATTTACGCAAAAAAAATTCTGAAATTTATGAATGAATGGGGGAAAGCGACTGAATGGGGGGGAAACAACTGAATGGAGGGAAAGCGACTAAAACATGGGAACTGCAGCTAAATAGAGGTAAACTGTATAAACCAGCAGTCAAATTTCACTGATCATTACCCCACATACTTAGTATCTTAGTAGACAATGATTTGTTGATCCATTTCACAAAGTTAGTGGAGAAATGAAATATTAATAAAATGAAGCCATGCAGAACAGACAGCAAGATTAAAATGAAACATTCATATGCAAAAAAGAATGAATGCAGGCTCTTTAGAGTAATTGTAACAAAATAATTTTAGCTGTGTTATGAGGCCCTAACAAAATTCACTCTTCGAAATGTCAATTCTTTTTGATAAATGTTTTGTATGATGTCATAATTTTTATACTAGTTTAGGAATTTTCTGAACACCTGTCGATGGATCATAAAATCTTGAAAAAAAAAAATTGATTTCAAAAATTGTATTCAGAGTAATCTCCAAAAAAAGAACTTATAATCATTTAAAAACAAAAAGATACATAAATATGATTAAAACTTAATAAAATAAAAAAATAATTTTTCAACATATCTTTCAATTTATATTGCAATGATCATATGAAAACACGAGTATCAGACCTGATCAGACGGACAATGCACAACTTTTTCATGCAGATCACACAGATACAGTCATCATCACGATAACAAAAATAGCTGAAATATATTGTGTCAGGACAATGCCCCACCGCAAGAAATAAGAAACCTATCCCAATTTTATCTTTTCTGTAGAGTACTTAGCGAAGTATTCGGGCCGCTCACCCCAGCAGATAAAAAGACACAAAAACAATTTCTGTTACCAGTCAAAGTTGTGCATGTATATATCTTGTGAATGTTTTGTTATGAACACTGATTATCACACAAGTAGAAGCATGTAATTCGTATAATACTTAGCTATATCAAGTGCATGTATATATCCTGTGAATGTTTTGTTATGATTACTGATTATCACACAAGTAGCAGCATGTAATTCGTATAATTCTTAGCTCGGGGCTGAGTGTTCTTTACTTCTGAGCAAATGTAAGCAAACTTGCTAGGGGTGAATAATCCATGAAAAAACCTAAGGTAACAACGTCTATTTACAAATTTTACCTCTTCTCTAGTGTCCTGGGCGTCAGTCTTCGTTTCAAGCATGTCATCGAGACTTGCAATCAGATCATCGAACGTCGTGTGTGAATTTCCACGAGCCGACTTTGATTGTGGAAGAGGAACAGCTGGACTGGAAGACAGGTTTTCGTCTTCTGAAAGAGAGATAAAAGTCGATGAATTAAATTTTAATATTTATCCCGGAGAGGAGAAAGCTGATAAGACAGCATAAGCATATGGCGAATTTCAGTCTCATGTCCGGATAATAATTCATGTCGGGTAACCAGTTATTTGTTTCAGATGCATAGAGGTGAATGATTGTCGAATAACCTCCATAAATGATTTGATGAATGTCTTTCCATAAATGATGGTTGGACATATCACTAGCAAATGACCCATTAAACATTGAAAAACGAGAATATCGGTCAGAGACCGAAGACTTATCGATCGAAAGATGGGGGATATCCCAAAACAGCGCTCTTACTCCATACTGACACCTTGTGTCCCATCACTAATTAATTAATAACTCGCTAATTATACGACATAATTCGCCCAAAATCAATAGGCTTCTGGTCCGAGATAAGATGAATGCACATGCAAAATCTGGAGCAGATTCAATCTCGCTTTCGTGAGATATCGCGTGCATCTAACAGACAAACAAACAAACATACAGATAGACAAATAGCTATCAACATACTTACTGATTAAAATCGAAAAGTAATAACGGTAACAAGAGTTGTATGTGTATTCAGGGAGAAATAAAGAGTTACAAAATAGGCAAAGCAGGGAACCACTGCCCTATCATATCCAAGTTACAAGTCAGGCCAATGCCTTATGACATTGAGTCAGCGTTTCGTTTACTGAAACAAATTTCATCGAACACAAAGTGGTACACAAGAATGGCTTTGTTAAATTGTTGTTATTCTTGTTGGGCTGTTTTTATGGTCGTTGTTTTCCCTCGAAAATTCTGAACCAATTTATATCTCAAATTCGAACTTTAAACAACTTACTTAATAAAGGAGTAAAAAATTTCTTTGCCGGTTCCAAGTTCGCTACGTTGCTGTTGTTGCTATTCTTTATTGTGGCTACTTCCAGACGATTCTCCAAGTCTGTGATCTAATTGAAAAAAAGATATGTATTATTGAAGAGCGGGCAGAAGATAAAATCCTTAAAACTTCAAGTTGATTTTCCTTACTCCTGTCTCGGGCCGAGTGGGAAACCAGTGTCCAACATATAGTGGATGTTTCCCCGAGCATAGATTCCCTCGTTTATTTCCGTAACAATTACAAATTAGCAATAAGTTAACAATGACGTAACAATTGGAATTTATCTCACACTTCATTTGCTCTAACAGATATTCAAGCGCAGTTGTAAACATTGCCTCTTTTTCTGTGTTATTTTTCGGTTTTTAGTCGCATTTTTCAAACCTACTGCAATGTATGGGGCACACATAATTTGTGAGGACCCGCATATTACCTTTTTCAGTATTACCTAACCTATTTAGCACACCCCTATGGGATAAGGACATGTGATGCCCTCATGGTCAAGTTTGATGTTTATCGCCAATATACGCCAACCCTTGGAACAAAAACAATAAAAATCCGTATCTTACTTGTCTGTGTAGCAATTGCTTCTCAGCCTCGTTCTCCTGCTCAATAGTTGATATTTGTTTCCGAAGATTCGAGTCACGCTCAATGAATTCCGCCTCCCTGAAAAAAAATTTATGAGGCGTTTTCATAAATCCACTCCAGACAATTTATAAATACCTTCCAACAAGCGTTTCAGGCTGAGAAAAAATGCTATGTATGATACAGGAAACTGTTTTTTTTTTAATTTTCAAAATGGGGGAGAGAGGGGGGGTTCAACCCCAAGATTGAGTAGTTTGGGACGCTCCATACCAGGGGTTCCCAAGCTTTTTTCAGGACGACCCCAAAGACAACTTTCAAGTGTCCATTGCGACCCCAGGTCAATAAATATATGTTTCATGAAACTTTAGAGCTTCTTTCACTGAACTTTTGAGTTTGGTCATGTGGTGGTATTAAGTAAAATAAGCTAAAACCAAACAGTGATGTCACAATAAGCACTTACATTTTCTATAGCATAAGCATAGAGCGACGCTTATGAGCCTGTTTTACAGTAAGCCATGGTACAAACTGCTAAATTTAACACAGTTTGTCAAATCTTAGATGATTTGTACACCCATCCTCTACCATACCTCAGCGACCCCATGTCCTGTTTGCGACCCTACCTACTTATCACTCCGACCCAATTTGGGGTCGCGACCCCTGGTTTGTGAACCCCTGCTTTATACAAAAGTTGTTCTTTTTGAATTATGTTCCAAATGACGTGATTTGCTACAGGGTCACCCGTTAGGTCGATCTTATTGACTTTGCAGTCCACTCTCTTTCAATTATAATTTAAGATCATTGAATTTTATACAACAATTGGTGCTCCCGAAGTATGCGAACCAAGATGGCGGACATCGGAACGTAACATGGGTAACAGGTTAGGCGATAATTTTTTTCCAATTTTCCTTATTTTAGTCCTATTATCAGTTCCAAGACTAGCCAAGAGCCTCCCGTAGTATTTATACCTAAAATTATGGCCTAACCCTAACCTAGTACACATATTACATTCCGATGTCCGCCATCTTGGTTCGCATACTTCGGGAGCCCCCAATTTTCTGAGGGAGGCGTGAAGCTGATTAAAAAAAAATAAATTTGTTAGATCCCATCTTGCCCGCTATATTTTGGATATTTATGTGACATCCACATATTTTCAAAGTGTTTTTAGAATAAAGCATACTTTCGCCGTACTATCTCTTGTACCACCTCATTGTTAGCTAGTTATTTTTGAGGTGGACTTTTGAGGTGAACAAATTCTAAAAAGGGGGGCTGGCTCAAAAAGTTTGAGACCCACTGACCTATCAGAGTTTGATATATACAACAATGAACACCTGTGCTGGAATTCTTTTATCAATTTCTTCGCTTTATTATATTTTTTATCCAACAAAGCAGTTTGTTCCCTGACTTCATGCAATTGCTGTTTCATAAGTTCTTGTTCTGCTTGGAGTTCATCGAACTAAAAATAATATTTTGAGTGTTGCCAGATTTACCTCAACTGAAGAATTGAAATTTGAGGGTCGCCAGAATTTAGTTTAGCTTAAAAATGTAAATTTAATGGTTGCCAGATTTTACTTTCTTTCAAGAATCATGATTTCCGATATTGGAAGCATGGTATTTTGAGTATTTTTTGTGTTATTCTCGAAAGTGTAGAAAACTCTAAGCTACTACACTGACCAGCAGGGGCGCAGCCAGGATATTTGAAAAACAGGGGGATACACTGAAATCAAACAGTGCGCCAAAGGTGCAATGCGCGATGTCGTAAAGCGCTTGGAAAACTAAAAATTGCGATACGCCACTGAACAAATTCTTGTGTTGTGTGTAGCTTGCCTCTCTTTGTCAATCGAAATTCGGAGAATTCTCTAAATGCTCAATTTCGAAAATTCATTAATCATCGACTGTTCTCTCTAGCGCATGATTGCCATCAGGGTATGACCAGGCGGTCGAAATTGAATGTTTTCAAATATGGAATATTAAAATGAGGCACGAGGAGTTATATGAAGTACTTTTGTCTAGCCACCAGACTTTCAAATGAAACTATTTTAAATTGAGAATCTACTTCATCACATATAACATGTTTCAAATTCATTTATGAATAGTATAAATTGAATAATTGCAGCATAAATTACCTTTATTTTCCATTGCTTGGATTCCGCTTCTGCGACTTGTCTCAGAACCATCATTTCTTTCAACTTTTCTCTGTAATTCTCTGAACTCCATTCGACAGGGATATCAGCCAATAACTGTTCTGGGTCAGTTCCCTCTTGAAGATCAAACACCTTAATTTTTTATAATAAGTTTTACATTTTTACTCTTGAATTCAACACTAAGTCCGAGATCTTAATTTCACAAAGGTTGACATAAATAAAGGTTTCCTACAGAGAGACAGAAATCTTAGGATAGGATTTATATATTTATCCCGGGAGAAAAAGTCGATAAGACGGCTTAATCATGTGGCAAACCACGGCCTCTCGTCCGGTTACCAGTCTGTATTGGATACGGGATTAGATAGGCAGTTATATGTTTCAGATGCATGAACTTGATGGTGGAAATAGCCGTATCCTACCAGCAGCGACAAGGAGTTCAGCAATCCTCTTACACATAATTAATATTCCTCCATTAATTTCCATTCTCTCTACCTCAAGAATTGACGGTGTATCTGAACTCTCCAACTTATTCATGGAGAAAGATATGGCACCAGTGTTCACTCTAAGGAAATTGCAAGTGCAAAGGGCCTCGCAGTTCCTGCAATAACTGTATTGCACACTAAAACGATGGAAAAATGCCTTAAATTTTATCCAACTTACCTCAATATGTGACGGTGTCTCTGAAATTTCCAACGTCTGGTTCGTTTCATGCTCAGGTATTTCATCATCTTCTTCCATCTGTGAGAACGAGATTGTGTGTGATTAAATTTATACTAATTTATAAATTAAAAAAGTTAGCTAGGGATGTCCAAAATGAATTTAGATATTCGAAACATTGCAGCAGTAATTGTATTTCCTATTATAATTATTGAATGTAGATAATTTTATTTAGAAAACTGCCATTTTGGGGAAATTCGTGAGACCAAATAGGTTTCTGTTATTATTTAAATCAGGGGCCACACATAAAAAAAATTTTCCATGCGAAAAGCAAGAAAATAGAATGTGGCTATTGCTTAGTCATGCAGTAATAAAAAACTGGGCAAAAGGGTGAAAGATTTAACACAGCAGCAAAAGCAAAAAACATATTATATATTTTTACGACTTTTTCGACATAAACAGTCAAATTCAGATTTTATGCTTGATGTGTTGACAAGGTCCACACTGAATGGATTGGCACCGCTGATTTAAATACTACAAGAAATAAAGAAATTTATCGAAGTCCAAATTAATAAAACTCAAATACAAATTTAAAGTTTGAAATGCTTTATTGAATATGGCCAAATTTGGATTATATTTATTATTTGAAATTTGAAAATATTACCTAATTTAAAATGTATTAGGAATGCTAGATTATTACCCGGTTTTGGACATCCCTGTCTATATAATATTTAAAACCATTATACATAAATAAATGTATATCGTAACAACAGCTAAAATGCGGTCATTTTTCAAACCTTTCACACTCAAAAATCAAAACATTCAAAATATTTTGGTTAATATAGGGTGTCCATAAAGTCTTAAAATTTTTTCAAATTGCAAAGGTAATTTATCGATACCATATATTGTTTTGGATCTCACAGATGTATTAAATGAAGAAAAAATACTTGAACAATTACTGATTAAAAAACAACAAACATGGTTAAGATATATTGAGAAATGACTTCATAAGAAAATTGAAATTGTAAAGGGACTTTATGGACACTCATATTAGAACAAAAAAAATCATAAAAAACATGTTAATTTCACTTCAATTCAAAATGATTAGGTATAACATAAATATCAATACCCATGCGATAACACAAAATTGTGTCAATACTGTTAGTATATTATTAAAAAACATCAAAACAAAGCGAGGCAGTTTAGTAAGAAAAAGGAAATCATTTCAGATGCTAAATCAAAAGAGAAACGCTCTAATACAACGATTTCCTAAGGGGCCGCTAGTGCACTAATTGTGCCACTGTAATCTGCTAAGTGTGCCCCGAAAATTAATAGAATGCTAAAACAAGAGAGAAATGCTCTAAAACCGGGGTTTGTTGAGGCCTACACAGGAGGTTCACAACAATATGAAAAGAGCCTGATCGATCTTTAATGATTGATTTTAATCAAAAAGCCATGGCATCTTTTTATTTGAGCGTTCGGGGCAAATATTCATTGCTATCAGAAAAGACAATTAAAATTTTATTGCCTACAGCATAGAATATGGGGTGCTCCCGAAGTATGCGAACCAAGATGGCGGACATCGGAACGTAACATGGGTAACAGGTTAGGGTTAGGCGATAATTTTTTTTCCAATTTTCCTTATTTTAGTCCTATTATCAGTTCGAAGACTAGCCAAGAGCCTCCCGTAGTATTTATACCTAAAATTATGGCCTAACCCTAACCTAGTACACATATTACATTCCGATGTCCGCCATCTTGGTTCGCATACTTAGGGAGCCCCGAATATGGAGATGATACGGCATGGGGTGGGGGTCCGTCAGAACTAAGATTCACAAATAGGGGTCGGAGACTCAAAAAGTTTGGAAAACCCTGCTCCAATTTATACTTCAAAGGTGTGAGTAGAACACACCCACCAAAATTAATTGATGGGTACCCCACATTGTGGTGCAACTACTCAAAATCAGTAAAATTTTGGCAAATAAAAAGCTCTAATAATTCCAGAGAAAATATGAAGAAGAGATGTCTAAGAGACACTATCATCTTTGACTACTAATGATTTAAAACAGGTTGTGAAGTGGTTAAGAATATAGTAGATAACTACAATCTAAAGAATAAGGGAATCGGATATGATCCGTAAATTGCAGACAACTTTTAACAGTAATTCTTCAGGAATGTAGCCAGGAACTTAGGGAAAGGTCCTGAAATTTCTAGTTGCTAAGTTAGACAGTATCGCTGGAAAACGTGGAGTTTCCAAGAATCTTGAGAATCTATGAAAAGTGCTACCAAAAATTGCTATGAGTGACACAGAAATGGGGGTCTCACCCTCAACCGCCACCCACCCCCCATCCCAATAAAGGCTTTCTAAAACGCACTTTCATCTTCTACTGTATGTTCAATAGTCAAGAGTAAGGATGTGCATAAACTCAGTATCAAAAATAAATCTAATAACAACAATATCGAAAATCTTCATCAAGCCCAAACAAAAACTTCTTTATTTGAGAAACCAAAAAGCTGCTAGAAAAAGTAATAGGTAAGTTAATCACTAGAAGAGATTCTAGCACTTTTTCAGACCCAAAGTTCAGTAAAACAAAAATGATATTAAAAATTCCAAACAAAACAGAAAGTAGCAAACATAAATCTGACACAATTAGTTAAACAACATACCGTCATTATGTCTGAAGATTTTATATCTAATGTACGTTATCAGCTAAATATTGCGCTGACTGACAGTAACGAGATTTCCTCTTCAAAAATCAAACACAAAACAGAAAACAGCATATCGGTACATAAATCTAGTGGTCGATACAGAAATTACAGGAAAAACGAGAAGTTTGGTTTGAGTCCGACGCGGCGAAGTTGGAACCACATACCGTCATTATGCCCGAGGGTTTCATATGTAATATACGTTACCACTTATCAGTGATGTACTAAAGTAAGTATTGTACTAAATTGACAGAAAACAACACTTCCTCAGACTTTCCTTTTCAAGCAAAACAGAAAGTAGCAAACATAAATCCGGGGGAAGGTACATAAATTACGGAAAAAACAATAAGTTTGATTCTAGTCTGAAAACACATTCAGTCTGGAGATTTCATATGTAATGTACGATATCAGCTGATTGGTTTGCTAGATAGGCAGAGAACAAGACTCTCCAATACTTTCCTTTCCAAAAATTTAACACAAAACACAAAGTAGCAAACAAACATAAAGGTACAGAAACTACAGAAAAAAGACAAGTCTGATTTTAGTCTGACACAGCAAAGTTAAAATCACATACTGCCATTATGACTAGATCCTTTAATATGTAATGTACATTATCAGCTAAATATTGCACTAGATTGACAGTGAACAAGACTTCCTCTTCAGAAATTTAACACAAAACAGAAAGTAGGAAACATAAATCTAGTGGTCGATACAGAAATTACAGGAAAAACAAGAAGTTTGAGTCTGACACAGCAAAGTTGGAACCACATACCGGCATCAAGCCCGAGGCTTTCATATGCAATATACGTTATCAGCTGTACTTGATTGGCAACAAACAAGACTCCCTCAGACTTCGCTTCTCAAAAATTTCAAACAAAGCAGAGTAGAAGGATAAATTCATGGGAAGGGACAGAAATTACAGAAAAACTAGTTTGAGCTCGCCACCGCACCTCTAATTACTCTGCATGGGTTCGCAGGTTCATCCCATGCAGGGATGGTTATGTGCGAGAGGATTGCTGGACTCCTCGCCGTTGTTGGGTGGTTCACGTAACCGCTGGTCGGTTACGGCTTCCTCCACCACCAAGTCCATGCTTCCGAAAACAAACAATATAACTAATCCCATACCCGACTTGGAATGGTAACCGGACGAGAGGCCGTGGTTCGCCTTATGGATAAGCCGTCTCATCGGCTTTCCTCTCCCCCGGGATAAATATGTAAATCCTATCCTACATTCAGTCTGGGGATTTCATATATAATGTGCGATATCAGCTAAATAGTTTTCTAGATAGGCAGACTCTCAAATACTTTTCTTTCCAAAAATTTCAAACAAAACAGAAAGTAGCAAACATAAATCCGGGGGAAGATACAAAAACTACTATAAGTTTGACTACCGTAATTATGCCCAAAGCCTTTATATGTAATGTAGTTATCAGCTAAGCTGTGTGCAAGTTTGGCAGAAAACAAGACTTCGCAAAACTTTTCTTTTATTTCTTAAAGGCTGCTGTAGCAAGAGATAAGATAACTATCCTAAGTGATTCAAGAGTCCTGCTGCACACTAACACAAATATATTTCTGTAACGTTCCGTCTGACCAAGGTTAGACTTCCTCAGACAGTTCTAGTTCAAGTATATATAGTTCAACTAGTGACGTAACATAGTATGCGAGTTAGTTGAAACTCGGGAATTTAGTGTTAAGGCCGCCATAGGGTCTAATTAACATATTTGCTATCTGATAATTATATGTTTAAAACCAGTTAAATGATTACTGCACAACTCTGGAATTTTTTGATTAAATTTTTGACAGAAATGAAGAATCCTAGATAAAATAAATTGACTGAAAACACAAAACAGGATGGCTTTGAAGGAAATATGGCAACCCGGACCAATATCAATATTTGATTATGCCTCAGCTTACATGAACAACCAAACTTTCGAAGCCATGCGGCCATAATTGAAGAGAATTCTTGACATTCCCAAATGCACTGTTTATACCAGGGCTACTCAACTGGCGGACCGCGCCTGAATCCGGATCTTTCGGTATTTGATTTGGACCGCACCTAATTCATTATTTTAGATCATTAGCCCCATATTTGAAGTTTCCTTTTATAAAATCCCTTTTATAATTCAAATATATATGAAAAGAACTATAACACCATAATAAACAATCTTGATTAGCTAATATTCATTAGTCAGCCAAGAAATTGCGTGTTTAAGGATGCGGAAATTTCTGGAAAGACCGGACCCAAATATTTTTGAAGTTTTGTATGCAGATCTTTGGTAAAAATAATTCAGTAGCAATATTGGTATGTGCGCACTTTTTTGGAATTGACTAATATTTGTGCAAAAACGAATGAAAAAATTGTGGCGTTCTAACCG